AACCCTAAACCCTAAACCACAAGACTTGGTAGCCCTTTGTAATATCGTCGTTGGACCCAAATCATCAACCCAGAAGCCTTCGGAGCCTCCAAAGCCCTTGATCCCACAAAAGGGTTTAGGGTTTAGGGTTTAGGGTTTAGGGTTTAGGCTCCGGGTGCTCTGTTGAAGCTGGGCTTCCCTGCCAAGCTTGACGTAACTTACTGCAAGCAGAAGCCCCAATGTGCAACAAAGGGGCAGATCTTGTGCTTCTGCGTCCACACTTGCGTCGTGGGGTTGCGCGGGGCCAGTGTTTCGACGAATTTCGACACTTCCTCGTCGATGCAGCAAGGTTTGGGTTTTTCGGGAAAGGTATATGTACGCCTGATATGAAAGCCCGTGAACGAGAACAACGCCAGCAGTGTAAGAAAAAGGGTCATGAAGCCTCGCATGCACGAGTTTCACTAGCTGCCTACGTTGGCCGTAGAAGTTGGTTACGAACCCGTTCAAAATCTCGCTTTGCAACCCAGGGAATCTACATTCGACCTCTCCCAGCCACGGAAAGCCCTTCGCTCTAACATGTCTCAAACACTTGATTTCCGGCTTCCTTCTGGCATTTTGCCTGCTGCACCCTGAACCCCCATTGCCCTAATGGCACCCTTTTACTAAACCCCTAAGCCCTAAACCCTACAACCCTAAACCCTAAACCCCCCTCTGTCTCTCACAGGTACTCGAAGCAAACCCTAAACCCCTAGGCCCTAAACCCTACAACCCTAAACCCTAAACCCCCCTCTGTCTCTCACAGGTACTCGAAGCAAACCCCAAACCCCAAACCCTAAACCCTACAACCCTAAACCCTAAACCCCCCTCTGTCTCTCACAGGTACTCGAAGCAAACCCCAAACCCCTAAGCCCTAAACCCTACAACCCTAAACCCTAAACCCTAAACCCCTAAGCCCTAAACCCTACAACCCTAGAGGGTTTGTCGAGCTGAGGACCCAAGGCAGCTAGAGCTGAGGTCTTAGCGTTCAGCGGTTTAGGGTTTAGGGTTTAGGGGTTTAGGGTTTAGGGTTTAGGGGGCTTTAGGGTTTAGGGTCTAGGGTTTAGGCTTTCGGGCTAAAATGGCTGAGGATTTTGGGTTCAGGGTCTACGCTCTCATAACTCGGACAAGCCAGGTTTGGGGCTTGGGATTTTGGGTTTAGGGTTTAGGATGTTGGGTTTAGGATTTTGGGCTTAGGGTTTAGGATGTTGGGTTTAGGATTTTGGGTTTAGGGTGTAGTGGGCTGAGGGTTTAGGAGGCTTCGGAACCGGTGGAGCGGATAAAAGGCTCAGGGGAGCGATTGGGAAGGAATTCGGTCTCATCCAGTAAGGAAAGGGGCTTTTATAATTAGAATAGGTTTTTTTTTTGGGGGGGGGTCCTTTACAGGGTTCCTTAAAGAGTTCTATAAGGGCTACTATAAGGGTTTAGGGGCCTTAATAATTAAAATAGGGTTTTGGGGGTTCCTCATTATTATTTATAGTACAATATACCCCAAACCCGATTCTAATTATTCAGGCCCCTATATTAATGCAATACCGACTACAGGGATGGCAGCAACTCCCCAGACGCTAAGGCTCTCAAGCTCTAAACTTCCTAAACCTAACCCCAAACCCTGAACCCTAAACCTAACCCTATAAACCCTATAAACCCTATAAACCCTATTATAAACACTAAAACCTCTGCCCGACCCTACGAAACCCCTCAAGCCTGTCAAACCCAAGACCCAACCGCCAAAAACCCACAAATAAAACAACCCAAAAAAAAACTACGAGTCCTAAGCTCTAAAACCTTAACATGCTACATGCTATAGGCCAAAACCCCTAAACTCTACAAGCCCAAAACATCCTACCCATAGGCCCCATAGTAGTTCCTTTTTTGGGGTTCATATTTAGAATCCTGTAAAGTAATCCCAAAAAGGAACTACTATGGGGCCTATGGGTAAACTCTACCCCCCTCCCCCCTCCAACCCTAAACCCTAAACCCTCAACCCTCGTGAGCACCTCGAGGTCGGCGAGCCCCTTCTTCAGACAGAGGCCACCGAGGATGAGCAGAGGCCAGCGGAAGTAGGCTTCCCTGGGCTCAGAGAGATTTAGAAGTTTCAGGGTTTAGGGTAAGTAGGCTTCCCTGGGCTCAGAGAGATTTAGAAGGTTAGGGTTTACACTCTCACAACTTAGAAGGTTTAGGGTTTAGGGCTCAAGAGATTTTACAGGTTTTAGGGTTTAGGGTCCACGGGCTTATAGGGCTCTTGGCTTTTAGGGCTCTTAAGGTTTAGGGTTTGGGCTGAAAGAAGGAATGCCTTCGACAGTTGTACGGGCTTTGCCCAGGGTTCAATAAGAGCTCCATAATGTCGGAGTTTAGGGCTTAGGGTTTGGGATTTTGGGATAAGACCGTAGGTTTTCAGGATAATAACCGGAGAGCAAGCGCCCATCGACAAAAAAGGGTGCCTGTAGAGTATTTCTGCGCCAGCTGAAACATGAATAACAGAAACATTGAGCGTTTTGGGCAATGGTTCTGTGTAATATAGAAGCTAAATAATTACCAAAATTATTCCTTAAGGTTCCTTATTATACTTATACTATAAAGGAGCCCAAAACCCTATTCTAATTATTGAGGCCCATACAATAGGGGCGGGGAGTTTTCCTGACGGCGAGTCAAGGGCGATTTCAAAAACTCAAGCTTGGGGGGGGGGGGCGGGCTTTGTATTTCGGGATCTCTTGAAAGACGCGTTTGAGTCAAATGCTGGCGGTGCTTCTGGGGTCTTTCGGTAGGACTCTTTGGGAGCTAGCCCGGCAGGAGCGTATCTCGTCCAAGTTTTCTACCGGTTTAGGGTTTAGGGTTTAGGGTTTAGGGTTTAGGAGCTTCTCTATGGCCCTTGACTACAACCCTACAACCTGTTCCCGGGATGCACCAGATCTTGCTCCGAAGCTGAGCATTCGAAGATATAGGATGAAGTAGTTTAAATCTAGGTTTTGAACTGTGCTCTCAGGGATGGTTGGACGAAAGGTTTAGATCAGAGTCTCTCATGCCACATTGTCGTCTGTGATCACCTGCGCCTAAGCCTACATAGCCTCTGAGCTTTCATATGGTCTAAAGTTGAGTGGCTGGGATCGAAGGGTTTGAAGGACTTTTGTGGGTGTAGTAAACCCTAAGCCCTACGTGGCAGTTGGGAGGCTGTAGTGATTAGTTGCTTTGTCAGGTTCTGAGTGGCCTGCTTGCGCAGTGTCTGCAAGTCCCTGAGCCCGAAACCGATCTGCTAAATTGTCCGCACCATTACCAGCCCTAAAACCCTGAAGCCAAGAACCTACAACTCTACAGACATAAGCCCGAACAAAGCCCAACCCCTACTTGTAACGGCCTACCTGCATTCAATCACGAAGTGGCACAGCCGACCCGGGTTTTAGGCACGGGTCCAAAAAGCTTCTAAATTCCAGAGCAGTGTGCAGTTGGAGTTTGGGTTCAACGAACACCGGTCCTCTAAACCTCACGAGCTACATAGATGTCGGAGAAGCCGTAGCTTTCCGGACAGCTAAATCCCCTCAACTCAATGAGCCGTAATTCGTGAAGTGTACCTATAGGAGCAGCATAAGACATCCATATTGTGTTTTGCAGTATTTCAAGAGTGATGGCATGCTGTCTTAATCAAGGTGTACGTCTACGTGGGACTTTCAGAAAATTAGGGTACCTCATTTTGGGGTCCTTATAATAGGGATCCTATTATTTAGGGTACTATATTAGGGTCCCCTTTTTTCGGAAATCCCCACGTGGTGTGCTGAGAGCTTGAACTCTAGACACACAGCTGCAAGTCCGATTCTCTGAGGACGCAGAGTCTCTAGGAGTTGCCCTGAAGCATCAGGGCTCCTCATGGAGATCCTCGTATGAGCGATCAAGAAAAGTTCGAGGTTCTTTAGGGGTTTAAGGTTTAGGGTTTTTACGGGTTTAGGGTGTAATTATCTAGTTCCCAATCACGAAGTCCAACAACCTCATCCATTAACCCTCGTTGCGCCCCTTCGCCAAAGCCGAGCTGCTTCGTCGCCGCCGAGAGGATGACTGAGATGCTGTACCTTGACGATGGGCTTCGGGCTTAGTGTTCTAGGCTTACAGATCTAGGGGGTTTTATGCCGGAGCTCCAACACTAGGTACTGCCAGCAAAATGCTCCCTGTTTCTGGATAGTGACTGGTATACGAGAGATCGAACTCCGGAACTGTGAACTGGGTACTGCTTTGGGACAGGGAAAGTACGCCTCCAAAAACCTGCAGACACGGAGGCAAAAGTGCAGAGCATGCTCAAAAGCTTGATACGACTAGCACTACTGCTCGTCTCGTTGTTGTGATCAACCGCAGTACTCCAAGCTTTACAGGCTCAAGAGCTGTGGACATTGCAGACATAATTATGAATCTTCCTGTGTGAAACATTACATTCATTGGTGAAGTATTAAGTTTGACAAAACACCCCACTCTCCCCCTTTTAGCCCTACATTGAAATTACACTTTAGCATTGAAAGTTCCCTTGTTACTCGGGTTTGCTGGAAGCAACCCTACACCCTGAACCCTAATTAGCTCTTGTCCAGCTGAAAGACTTCTAAGGGCTCCGATTGGAAGCCGCAAGAAAACCACGCAATATTTTTTTAACTAGCAGCTGGCATAGTTCATGGCTGAATAATCCGTAAACATAGTACCTCCCTCCGCGTAGTCCCCAGACGCATATTTGTGCGCAAGTAGTCCCCAGTCCCTAGCCCTTGTTGCGTGTTTTGTGTTTTTGGTGCGCAAGATCTTTTGGCTCTGGGCCCGATAGGGCTCGGAAGCACATGCTCTACACGCCATCTACCTGACACCCTGGACCCAAAATGGATCCGAGGCTTCTGATGGCTCTCTCCTGAACCCCAAACCCCTGAACCCCTAAAGCAAAAAACCCTTGAAAGCCTAAACCCTAAACTCCTTAAACTCCCTAAAACCCTGAACCCCCAGCACCCTGAACCCCTAAACCG